CTCATTTCTTTGCATCTGTATTGTCAGAGGATTACCAGCTTTTATTTCTATTATAATGCTGTGTGTGAAGGGGCTATTTTTTTATAGTGAAGGAAAAAGAAAATTTGTTAGAAGCAAACTTTAAAGCTGCTTTTGTCTGCCGTCTTGTCTGATGAACCACAGCCCACATTTGATGTCTTTCCTGAACTGGGGTGACCCTCTTGAGCCTGGAAGAGTCAAATGTGCTTGCAGTTCAGAAAGGTAATGAGCAATCAATGGGCTGCTGGGGATTCTAGATCTCACGGTGGCCTGTGAGATGGTGTGGGTTACTGACGCATTAGTGCTTTCCAGTTCTGGGCTTGGGTATATTTCTGTTTAAAGAAGGTTCAAAAATAATGTTTAATATATAACAGACTTGCAGTTAAAATCTGTAGTAATTGAGCACATGCAGACAAAAACCTTTCAGGTGGATTGCAGGACCCAAAAGTTTTCTTTCAATAACTGGTCCACAGTGTCTATAAGATGTAAGGAGATATTGATGAGTTGAGAAAAGGATCAGGACAGGTTAGAAGAGACTACATGAAGCCTAATTCATAATAGCAAAATTTAAATATTCAACAAAGGCTGTAAAATAGATATCAGTTGCAGGAAAATTGATAGTATAGAAGTTGTCCTAGAAAACCACTCCTTGAATGCAGATAAGTGAAAGTAATGAACAGGAAAACCCAATATTGCACCACATTTTATTGAAAACATCACAAAAAAATTAAAACCAGATTAAACAAGCCTTGGGAACAATACAAAATTCTCCCAAAATCCATCTTCAAAGAAACAAAAAATTAGCCTTTGATTTTTCTACAACACTAAACTCTAAAATACAAAAGGACACAGAAGCTAAATACATAAAACTTAAAGGGACTGTAACCCACACATTGATTATTCAGCTATGACATTATTTATAGGTCGGGGTAAGAATCTCAAAAGATGTCCTAGGAGGGGGTGAGGGATTGGGGAGGCAGGATTTAAAATGCTGAGATCATAAAGAGGTAGCTCCCAACTTAGATTGGGGATATTATGGTAGACAATTCCTTAGCAAGCGTGTGTTGATGCCCATCATTTATGGATGTCATCAAAGGCCACAGGACACAGCTATAGTCAAAAGTATTTTTTTGACCCTTGTCACAGTCAGAGACCACTTGCCATGGAGTCTAGGTACTTCACAATAAGAAGGTGTAAAGAATTGAGCACATGTAGGGAATTAAGAGGGAGGGCTCAAGTGAACAATGGTTTCTTCTGGATTGGGCACTGTCAGAAAGTGGGGAGTAATTCTGCAGTTGATCAGCTTTCATCTAGGAAGTAGAAGAAAGTGAAAGTGAAGTCTCTTAGTTGTGTCCGACTCTTTGTGACCCCATGGACTGTAACCTATCAGGCTACTCTGACCATGGGATTTTTCCAGGCAAGAATGCTGGAGTAGGTTGCCATTTCCTTCTCCAGGGGATCTTCCTGACCCAGGGATCGAACCTGAGTCTCCTGCACCGCAGGCAGATGCTTTATCATCTGAGCCACCTAAAGCAGCAGCAGTCATCCATGTTAGCTACAAGAGGGCGATGTTAATCTGCTCAGGCATGTCTAGTGTTAACTCACTTCAGCAGGAGCGCAGAATAACCTTGTCTGATGTCAGAGATTTAAGAATCATCAGTGTCCAATAGAAGAAAACCATGGCCCAGCTGTGAGTGCTAGGTCAGCTTTTAGCTTTCAGAAGATCCCATTTCTCTTACATTGAAACCACTGAAATTAATAGTGAAATAAATGAAATAAATATGGTAACACTATTTACAAAAGCCAAGACATGGAAACAAGCTAAATGCCCATCGACTGATGAATGAGTAAAGTTATGCATACATGATGGAATATCACTCCACCATAGAAAAGAATGAAATAATGTCTTTTGCAGCAATATGGATGGGCCTAGAGATGGTCATACTGAGTGAAGTATTAAATAAGACAGCGAAAGACAAATATACCACTTATATGTGAAATCTAAAAAAGTGATACAAATGAATTTATTTACAAACAGACTCACAAAACAAACTTTATGATTACCAAAGGGGAAGGGGGGCAGGGGATGAATTAGAAATTAACAGATACACCCCTCAGTTCAGTTGCTCAGTTGTGCCTGACTCTGCGACCCCATGAATCGCAGCATGCCAGGCCTCCCTGTCCATCACCAACTCCTGGAGTCCACCCAAACACATGTCCATTGAGTTGGCCATCCAACCATCTCATCGTCTGTCGTCCTCTTCTCCCACCTTCAATCTTTCCCAGCATCAGGGTCTTTTCCAATGAGTCAGCTCTTCATATCAGGTGGCCAAAGTATTGGAGTTTCAGCTTCAACATAAGTCCTTCCAGTGAATGTTCAGGACTGATCTCCTTTAGGATGGACTGGTTGGATCTTGCAGTCCAAGGGACTCCCAAGAGTCTTCTCCAACGTCACATTTCAAAAGCATCAATTCTTCTGTGCTCAGCTTTCTTTATAGTCCAACTCTCATATCCATATATGACTACTGGAAAAACCATAGCCTTACTAGCCAGACCTTTGTTGGCAAAGTAGTGTCTCTGCTTTTTAATATGCTGTCTAGGTTGGTCATAACTTTTCTTCCAAGGAGTAAGCGTCTTTTAATTTCATGGCTGCAGTCACCATCTGCTGTGATTTTGGAGCCCCCAAAAAAGTCAGCCACTGTTTCCACTGTTTTCCCATCTATTTGCCATGAAATGATGGGATCGGATGCCATGATCTTAGTTTTCTGAATGTTGAGCTTTAAGCCAAATTTTTCACTCTCCTCTTTCACTTTCATCAAGAGGCTCTTTAGTTCTTCTTCATTTTCTGCCATAAGAGTGGAGTCTGAGGTTATTGATATGTCTCCCGGCAATCTTGATTCCAGTTTGTGCTTCATCCAGCCCAGCGTTTCTTATGATGTACTCTGCATATAAGTTAAATAAGCAGGGTGACAATATACAGCCTTGACATACTCCTTTTCCTATTTGTAACCAATCTGTTGTTCCATGTCCAGTTCTAACTGTTGCTTCCTGACTTGCATACAGATTTCTCAAGAGTCAGGTCAGGTGGTCTGGTATTCCCATCTCTTTCAGAATTTTCCAGAGATTATTGTGATCAAAGGCTTTGGCATAGTCAATAAAGGAGAAATAGATGTTTTTCTGGACCTCTTGCTTTTTCAATGATCCAGTGGATGTTGGCAATTTGATCATAATGGGCTTCCCACGTGGCACTAGTGGTAAAGAACCTCCCTGAAAATGCAGGAGATGCAAGAGATGCGAGAGATGCAGGTTCTATCCCTGGATTGGGAAGATCCCCTGGAGGAGGGCATGGCAACCCACTCCAGTATTCTTGCCTGGAGAATCCCATATACAAGAGGGGTGATCCATGGTCCACAGGGTCGCAAAGAGTCAGAACCAACTGAAGATACTTAGCAGCATATATAAAATAGATAAGCAGCGAGGTCATACTGTGTAGCACAGGGAACTCTGTTCAGTATCTTATAATAATCTACAAGGGGAAAGAATCTTAGAAAGAGTATACATCCGAAAATAACATAGCGTTGTAAATCAAGATAAGAAGAAACTGTTTGGGGGCTCCCCTGGTACTACAGTTGAATAAGAATCTGCCTGCCAATGCAGGGGACATGGGCGGATCCCTGGTCGCAGAAGGTTCCACACGCCGTGGGGGAACTAAGGCTGAGAGTTGCAGCTGCTGTAGCATGTGAGCCTGGAGCCTGCGCTCCACAGTAAGAGAAGCCAGTGATGCCAGAAGCCAATGCGCCGCAACTGGAGAGAGCCTGCATGCAGAAACAAGGACCCAGAGCAACCAAAAATCAAATAAATAAGTAAGAAAAATGCCATATTAAAAAAGCAAAAAGAAACTGTTCTCCAGTCGGCTTGGCAACATAGCTCCTCTTAGTCTCTCACAGTCCCTGCCTTACAGTGACATGTAGCATCTTTTCACGTCCTCATTAGCCTGCTCTGTTCCTCTTGCTGTGAACTGCTTTTTCCTTTCCTTTGCTTGGGGCTGCTCTAGTGGCTCAGAAGGTGAAGGATCTGCCTGAAATGCAGGACACCTGGGTTTGATCCCTGGGTCAAGAAGATCCCCTGGAGAAGGAAATGGCAACCCAGTCCAGTATTCTTGCCTAGAGGATTCCATGGACAGAGGAGCCTGGCAGGCTACAGTCCACAGGGTCATGAGGATTTGGACACGACTGAGAGACTTAACACTTTCACACTATCATTTGCTTATCTTTTCTATGGGGTTGTTCATTTCTCTTACCTATTTGCAGAAATTCTTACATCATGGACATGGATCCTGGTTGTGTCATACACGTCATACATAGTTTTGGCTGATGTCATCATCTTCATAGCACGTCTGGGAAGATGTCACTGCAGCGACCACCCTGTTTTCAGGATGGACAGTGTAGTGACAAGACAGTCAAGGGAGAAGATGGCGGGTGATGGAAAGAGAGTCTGCCCTCAACCGCCTCTGCGGGTGAAGGCAGTGACGGGCGTACTGAGGAAAACGCAGGCCGCTTGGAGACAAAATGACTGTTTACCCTTACCAACCATGCCATTTTGGACTTCTCCGAAGCTGGCTTTTCTACAAAAGAGAGGAAATTTGCTTTCTACAGGTTGTTGTGTGGAACAAATGAGTAAACTCATGTAAACGGCCTGCCTCAGGGCCTGGCACCCAATAACATCATACAGACAGATGCCTTTTGACCATTTTGAAGGATCGTGAACCCATAGCTGATGCTACTTTAATATATTTTTATTATCCATTTGTCATAATGTCCTGGTCAGCTGTGACATATTCGGGAACTCTTCATTCAAATCTCGGAGACGGAAATGCTCTCAGACTGTAAGGTCGCCGCCCCCTTTCAGTGATTGGCAGATGAGGCCCTGGGGCCGGAAGTGAGGAGGAGACCAAGTCGGGAGTCAGGGAGTGGGCGGCGGTAACCTCACCCGGCAAAGCCAAGGGGAAGGGCAGGCGAATCCTTTAGCATGGCTGGAAGAGGGGGCCTTTTGATGCTGGAAAACTTCATAGGTGGAAAATTTTTACCTTGTAGCTCATACCTAGATTCCTATGATCCCTCCACAGGGGAAGTGTACTGCCACGTGCCAGACAGTGGGGAAGAAGAGGTGAGTGCGTTCAGTTGGAGGAGACTGAAATCTGCTTAGCCTGGCAGTGACCTATGGTACTGAATTTTCGCGGAGCAAAGGGGATTGCTAAATGTTAGCCGAAGGAAGCTTTTTAGTTCTAAGAAGGTTTATTTTGTAGCTGGGTATATACGATGTGTGGAACAGATCATATGCAGAAGTGACTAATAATCTAGATAACCTCACACAGAGCCACAACTCTCAGACATTCCAAAGTGGCTGCTAGTAAAAAGTAGTATTTGTAAGAATTATCATATTACTAAGTGCTCCCTTTCTCGATCAAGTTTGGCTGAATTTGCCACTATATTCATGGATTTCCAGGAAACATGTTACTTCACTAAAATAAAAAAATTTTTAAACCCAGGGATTTATTTTAGCTTATCCTCTAGTAATTCTTCATATCTTCAAATTATCTAATAAAGTAAAAACCAATCATTTGAATGATGAAATGCAGAATCAAATTCCTACATATTTTTGGAGTTAAATTTAACATTACTTTTTCTTACTCGAAGGAAACACACACACGTTAAAACTTTTTTCAGTGATGTAGAATTAATATTATTCAAGAGTTTTGTAAGATATTTAAGATCTATTTGATTAGTATCTCATTGCACTGAGAAAATAAATATATTTGAGGTCATAAATGTGGCTGATGAATGTATACTCATCTAAAGCCTAATAGATTTTAATTTATTTTGTAAAGCACAAAGAACTAGATTATTTAAAAGATAAATATAGTCTTTATATATATTAACAGATAAGTAGTATATGCAAGGCATTTTTTAAAAAAAGGGTTAAGGTATTTTTTCTCTATTGTTAATAATATTGTAAATCTGTCTTGTATTAAAAAAACCTTTAGACTTCTGGATTAAAGTTTGCAAATATTGGCTAGTTTGTTGGTTAAACTGTAACCCACAGTTTTATCTGTTTCAAAATGACCTGGGATTACATGGGGAAAATCCAGCTTTGTGTTTGCCAGGCCTCTCTGTCTGAGTCCTTTCTGAAATAAAGTGAAAAATGACAAGTACATCAAATTCAGGTGAAATCTTTTCTGCAGCTAATGACTCAGCCCTTTCAGATGAGAGAGAGAGGGATCAGTACACTGGCCAGTAGAGGAATGTATATTTTGGATTTCCCAGTAATCTAGCTTGCAAACATTGCATCTGATCACACAAATCTCATGTTTTTCTGGCTTGAAGAATGTGGTTGTCATGCAAGCTACAAGCCCAGTGTCCCCCAAAAGTCACTCACAGAAAGAGCTGCGGTGCTGCCAACGGGCTCATGCTCTTTCAGCATTTGCCTTGTGCTGTGCGTTCACTAAGCCGTGGAACAAAAATTGTCCCAAATCAGCATTGTAACACCTATAAATGAGACTCTATCATCATCCTTATTTTACAGATGACAACGTGCTTGTATCAGTGATCACACATACACACACACAGGCACCCACTTTGGGAGCATTTGCACTGTAGTGTTGCATTCATAAGCACAGATTGGGTTCGACTGCCTGGCTTCAAAGATCCGCCGCACCACTTACTATGTATGGTCTGAACTCAGAGCTGAGCCTCCCTGTGCCTCAGTCTCTTTATCTATAAAATGGGCATCATAATAACATCTAAACACACTAACATATGTAGAGCTCTTTGTGTCTAGCATCGGTAAAAGCTTTCCAAGTATTAGCTTTTGCTGTTATTATTGTATATAGTGGATCAACACATGTTCTGTACATGTGACCGAAGACAACTTAGAAAATATGACTGGACTTGAATTTTCTGCTTTTCAAAAAGATCAGAGTTTTACATGGACAATTGGAGGAAGACTAGATTTGACATTCAGTCTCCTCTTGTTGGCTAGCAGTAGGGTGTCCCTGAGGCTACAGCTTCTGGTGGAGATTTGAGATTTGGTTTTTGAGGTGAAACCATCCAATTCCCAGAAACTTATAATTAAGATGAGAATCATTTTTTATACCTTTAGCTTATCTGAAAGTGACCTTGTTTACATAAAGAAAACAGGAAGGCATGTAGATCAGATTTGGAGTGAGAGGGCAACTGAATTGTCCCTCTGATTGTCATCTGAATCAGAACTATATTCTCAGAACTGTCATCTTCTGAGACACAGTCAGAAAAAGTAGCTGTCTAAAATTCACTAAGAAGTTTTTCTTCACTCCGAATTTCACAATGCGTCATTTTTGAAAATTTTACAGAAATAAACTTGCCTTTATAACATACACAGGATTGGAACAAAAACCCAGGGAAGCAAAATGTGAGTGATAACGACAGTCACAAGTTGTATAACGATGCCTCAGTCAATTTTAAGAGAGGAGAAAGGCAGCAGTGGTTTGGCTGCTCAGTCATGTCCAACTCTTGTGACCCCATGGACTGCAGCCTGCCAGGCTCCTCTGTCCATGGGATTCTCCAGGCAAGAATACTGGAATGGGTGGCCATTTCCTTCTCCAGGGGATCTTCAAGACCCAGGGATCGAACTCAGATCTTTTGCATTGTAAGTGGCCTCCTGCATTGCAGGTGAACTCTTCACTGACTGAACCACCAGGGGAGCCCTGGAGAGGCAGAAGATGCCCTGATAATTTATTCCACCTGTAAGAACTGGCCTTGCTCATATCTTCCCATTCATTGTTTGCTTTGGATTTAACTCTAAAACCCAGTCCTCAAGCCATCTGTTCAAATTCTTCTCCAACAGAAGACCCTTCCACTGGGTGGAGCCAGGCAGAGGCCGGGACTGTGGTTATGCCACAGTTATGCTAGCAGGCCAGCTGTGGTCTTGGGAACTACAAAGACCTGGGTTTACATCCTGATTCTGCCACTTATGAGCTGTGTGACCTCTGGCAAGTTACTTGAGCTCTCTGTGCTTCAGTTTGTTCATCTGTAAAATGGGCTTAACAATACTCATGTTACAGAACTTCAAAGGGGGTTTAATGAAATAATTTGTGCAAAGCGTTTAGCACCTTCCTTTATATATAAAAAATATTCAATATGTAACTAATATGGCTAGTCATTCCAAGTCAGAATGACAGTCTGGGATGTGATTTCAAACTTTTAGACTTTATCAAGTATGTCAAAACTTCTTTAGGAGTTTAGAGATTCAGTACACCCTTAAGTTTCCTCTCTCATATGATATTCAAAAACTTCTGTATTTTGAAATTACTGAAAACGTATACCAGCTATTGAAGTAGCTTCTTTCAATTATCACCACATTCTGGATAACTGGATTGAAATGGAGGATTTGGGGTTTTTTCATGGTGCCCTGCTTTGCTGGTTAAGTAGACAGCACTTCATGGGCAACTCAGCACTGCAGAGTGTCAAATATTAGGAAGTAGGCAGAAAAAAAGTGAGATATATACAGACCTGGGTTCTGGACTCATCCAACCCTCGAGTGGTTGTTCAGTTGCTCAGTCGTGTCCGGCTATTTGCAACCCCATGGACTGCAGCATGCCAGGCTTCCCTGTCCTTCCCCATCTCCTGGAGCTTGCTCAAACTCATGGCCATTGAGTCAGTAATGCCATCCAACCATCTCCTTCTCTGTCATCCCCTTCTCCTCCTGCCCTCAATCTTCCCCAGTATCAGGAGGATCTTTTCTAATGAATCAGCTCTTCACATCAGGTGGCCAAAGCATTGGAGCTTCAACATCAGTCCTTCCAGTGAATATTCAGGATTGATTTCCTTTAGGATTGACTGGTTTGATCTCCTTGCTGTCCAAGGGACTCTTAAGAGTCTTCTCCAGCACCACAATTTGAAAGCATCAATTCTTTGGCGCTCAGCCTTCTTTAGGATCCAACTCTCACATCTGTACATGACTACTGGAAGCTCTTAGCTTCTGCTCCTCGAGAGCAACAGGGTAAGGTGACCTCTTCTGTTTGCTCCTGCAAGGTCGAAGCCGCGGTGGAGGCTGCCAGAGCAGCTTTTCCGGGCTGGTCCTCCCGGAGCCCCCAGGAGCGCTCACAGGTGCTGCAGCGGCTGGCCGACTTGCTGGAACAGTCCCTGGAGGAGCTGGCCCAGGCCGAGTGCAAGGACCAAGGTGAGGGGGGTCTGTGCCGGCCTCTTCCCTCTCTCTCCCGCCCGCCCTCTGGTGGAGCCAGGATGAGTGCCCCGTCCCGTATGGAAATGCGCTTCCTCAGATGCTGCCTGTTCACACCCTCCTTCCGAGTTGTCAGGGGATCTCTTGCCTCTTACCCGTATGAATGGAACTTGGGACTCTTTCTTCTTGTGCCCCCTGTGGGCCCATCAGGCCCGCCCACCCCGTGCTTCTCAGGGCCGTGGTAGAGCTTGGAAAGCCTGGCCAGCCGAGGCCTCTGAAGGCTGAGGCTTGCAACTGGCCCACTTCTGCCTCCTTCTGATGGTCAGAGCAAGTCAAGGCTGAACCCAAGTTCCAGAGGCAGGGAAATAAACACACTGTTGGTGGAAGGAACTACGGATTTGGGGAGAGGGGTAGAATGTGAAGGCTGAGAGTGCAGCCCTCCACCAGTTCTAAATAGAGAGTTTCAAACCAAAAAAAAAAATTTTGTCTCTTTTTTTTTACCGCATTATTCATTTGTTTCTTTATTATATTTTTAAATTGAAGTATAGTTGCACTGCTGCATTTAAAATGGAAACCAACAAGGACCTATGGTATAGCACAGGGAACTCTGCTCAATGTCACGTTCAGCCTGGATGAGAGGGGAGTTTGGAGGAGAATGGATACATGTGTATGTAGGGGCTGAATGGCTCTGCTCTGTGCCTAAAATTATCACAACATCATCAGTCGGCTTTACTCTAGTGTAAAATAGAAAGTCAAAAGCAAACAAACCAAACAAAAATTGAAGTACAGTTGATCTAAAACTTTGTGTTGGTTTCAGGGGTACAACACAGTGATTCAGTTATACCCGTCTATAAATGTAGACATACCGTCTATGTAAATGTGTGACTGTGCTGCAGATTGTCGTGTGTGTGTGTGTGTGTGTCTGTGTATCTGTGTGTGTGTGTGTGTCTGTGTGTGTCTGTGTGTGTCTGTGTGTCTGTGTGTGTGTGTCTGTGTGTGTGTTTCTGTCTGTGTGTGTGTCTGTGTGTCTGTGTGTGTCTGTGTGTGTGTGTCTGTGTGTCTGTGTCTGTGTGTGTCTGTGTCTGTGTGTATTTCTGTCTGTGTGTCTGTGTCTGTGTGTGTCTGTGTGTGTCTGTGTGTGTATCTGTGTGTCTGTGTATGTCTGTCTATGTGTGTGTGTCTGTGTGTCTGTGTCTGTGTGTATTTCTGTCTGTGTGTGTGTCTGTGTGTGTGTGTGTGTATTTCTATCTGTGTGTCTGTCTGTGTGTGTGTCTGTCTGTGTGTGTGTGTCTGTGTGTCTGTGTGTCTGTGTGTCTGTCTGTGTATTAGTTGTTCAGCTGCTCAGTCATGTCTGACTCCTTGCGACCCCATGAACTGCAGCATGCTAGGCTTCCCTGTCCTTCACCATCTGCTGGAGCTTGCTCACAACTCGTGTCCATTGAGTCGGTGATGCCGTCCAACCATCTCCTCCTCTGTGTTCTCCTCCTCCTCCTGCCGTTAATCTTTCCCAGCATCAGGGTCTTTTCTCAATAGTCACTCTTCGCATCCAGGTGGCAAGAGTACTGGAGCTTAAGCTTCAACATCAGTTCTTCCAGTGAATATTCAGCACTGATTTCCTTTTGGATTGACTGGTTTGATTCCTTGCAGACCAAGGGACTCTCAAGAGTCTCTCTCTGTGTGTTTATATATATATTCTTTTTCAGATTCTTTCCATTTATAGGTTATTATAAGATATTGAGTATAGTCCCCTGTGCCCTACAGGAGGTCTTTGTTGGTGATCTCTTTTATATATAGTAGTGTGTATATGTTATCCAAGCTCCTAATTTATCTCTTTCCCCTCCTTTTCCCTTTGGTAACCCAAGTTCGTTTCCTAAAAGCAAAGATAATTTGAAGGGCACACCGTCAAGTAATGCAGAAAGATTTCCAACATGTCAGTCACTGTTCCACTCCCAACACAATTTCCCAATTTTTAAAACTGCTTCCCAGAAGTCATCGTAATGGGGTAAATGTCTGCAAATCTTTGTAAAGATATGTTAGTATATACATGTATGTATATACTATGCCGATGCTAAGTTGCTTCAGTTATGTTCGACTTTGCAACCCTATAGACCATAGCCCACCGGATTCCTCCGTCCATGGGATTCTCCAGGCATGAATACTGGAGTAGGTTGCCACGCCCTCCTCCAGGGGATCTTCCCAATCCAGGGATCGAACCTGTGTCTCTTAAAGTCTCCTGCATTGGCAGGCAGGTTCTTTACCACTAGTGCCACCTGGGAAGCCCTACATGTATGTATGTACGTATGTATATATGTATATGTGTGCTATAAAGTGGCCTAAAGTTAGAAAGCAGCTTGACTCCAAACCCCTAAGTAGAAAATGCTTCCTGACATGGCAGAGTCTCCTAGCATCACTAAAGATAACTAAGGGACAATTCAGGTGTGTGTCTAGGAAGTGTGTGGGGCCCGTGATGGTGAGCAAGGGCCACACAGCATCCTCTGGTGGTACCCATCAGCGTTCTGCCACATGTTCATCTTAATGGCTCCACTGTGTGCTGAGGAGTTAATTAATATCATCGCATGTTTCTTGGTGATATGCAAACACAGCTCTCTTAACACCCACTATTCCAACCCCTCTGCAGCATGTCCAAAGCTTGGTGATTCTGAATTGAAAGAGCTGGATCGGGTGAAGTGGGAACATCTGGAATGATGATAGCTATGAATCATTCAGTCTAATAAGCAAAGATTATTTGACTCAATTCTAACCATTTCTACTTCATCTTATAATCTTACATCTAATTATTTCTTAGTCTTATTAAACCATGATCAACACTCTCTGTCATCAAGCAATGCCCATCCCAGGCTGGAAGGAACAGAAGCTGCTTCAGAGGGAGCTGGGATATGTGTGCGGGACTGTCCCCTCCAGGCTCGAGGTGGAGTGCACTGACAGAGCCTTCTGCTGTTGACGTCTTACAGGGAAAACCATAACCCTGGCGAGAACCATGGACATTCCCCGGGCTGTGCAGAACTTCCGGTTCTTCGCCTCCTCCATCCTGCACCACACGTCTGAATGCACGCAGATGGACCACTTGGGCTGTCTGCATTACACAGTGCGGGCCCCTGTGGGCATCGGTAGGTGCCGTGCAATGACAGTCGGGCCGCAGTGGCACGCAGAGATGCTGGGTCAGCCCTGCAGAAGTGACCTAAGGGGACAGGCTTTAAAAAAGAAACTTCTGCTTTATCTGAAATTTAATTGACGACCTTAAAAATCTAAATCTAGTTTGTTTGTGTCAAATTCCCTACTTATCCCTACATTGTTCTTGAGGAATCACAGGGAAAGGAATGACACTGAGAATAAATTCATAAACCAGGACTTTTTGTTCCTTGTAATTAAAAAAAAAATACTTTCAGGAAAATAGTGCAGTTAAAATCATAGTGGGGTAAGTGTCACTTTTGTGTGCTTCAGTATTGTTATCTGGAAACCGGGAGAATAGTTTAATTTTGTCTATATATGTTGTATGTGAATTATATAAGTTAATAGATGTAGAGCACTTATAACAGTGCCTGGTACTGTGATAAATAAGCCTTGACTATATTATCTCTTATTTCTGTGGTTCCTGCACTTCAGAAATACAGGCAATGACTCAACATGTCCACTAGATGTCACTGTTTCCTGTGAGAAAAAACCATCAACTGTCCATATTTCACTAGTTCCATTTTATGATAGGAGAACAGAAGATAAGTTAAAGAAAATAAAATGGGACATTTTGCCACTTTGATTATCTGAACCCTTTGGAAATAACATTTTCAAGGCACTATAACAAAACTTTAGTATCCTTCTAAGAAGTATACTAATACATTATGCTGCAAAAATATTCTCTTACTCCCTGAAGAGCAGATTTTTCAGTGGGAAATTTAATAATATATAAACCATGTTTACTTCCATAGCTCAGGTTTGAGGGTAGAGTATAAAATAAAGTGACTCCATTTATTTATTCATAATGTGGGTTTTATTTTTATGCATTTTGTGGTCGGAAGTCTGGATGGCTTCAGAATATTACATGAAGACACATTCTAAATGTTATAGATGTTACTTAGCCAGCAAACCTATCTGGTTAGGATACAGGTGAGAACCTAGAGATAATTTATTTATTAAAAAATTCCCTGGGTTAGCTAAAATGGATTTCATATCTCAGGACTTATTTGCTCTTATTTATTACAAATAATTGTGAACAATTTAAGATCTTATGTCTCAATCCACAACCAATTAGGAAAATAGGTGGAAAAATTTAGAAGAAATAGTGCCTTTAAATATCTTTAAATAGACCATTTAAAGATAAAAAAAAGATTGTTGAGACAGTGCAAAGATCAGCCTACAAACCTCAAAACTGATCACATTCTGAGACTGTTTGGGGAGAGGTGACAGTGTTTTAGCCCTCGTACTTATATTGTTGTTGTTCATAAATATGATTGAGAGTCATCAAGAAAAGAGTAAGCTGTATTGATTATAGTTTTAAAGGTATGGCTGCCTGTAATATATTTTAGACTTATTTCTCTGAAATTCTATAGAAATTCTACAAAAAACTGGAGATTCTTTTGTGGAATTTTTTGAAGCATTGAAATTCTACACACGATTGGGATTTTGGAAGAGCAAGCTGACATTTGGTGTAGCACGAAGGAGTTTTCATTAGTAAAGCGTGTCTGGCCCATCTCTGAAGGGTATGTCATTGCTGGCGATGCTTCTCTTCTCCTCTGTTAGCGGCTCTGATCAGTCCCTGGAATCTGCCCCTCTATCTGCTGACCTGGAAGATCGCTCCAGCGATCGCGGCTGGCAACACAGTGATAGCTAAGCCCAGCGAGCTGACTTCCGTGACCGCGTGGATGATGTGCAGACTCCTGGAGAAAGCAGGTAATCAGCGTTAGGGTGTCAGAGGAGAGGCACATGATTGGCTTTGGAGATGAACGTTTTGTAGGTTTCGGCCACTGTAGGGTTACTGACATTTTTAAAATAATGAAAAAAAAAAAATTTTATGGGAGTGTAAATGCACTTTACACTTTGCAATGTCATGTTGGTTTCACTGTACGGAAAAGTGAATCAGATACACGTGTACATAGTCAAAGGGAAGCCGCTCAACCGTGCCCGACTCTGTGCGACCCCGTGGACTGCAGCCCACCAGGCTCCTCCGTCCATGGGATTTGCCAGGCAATAGCACTGGAGTGGGTTGCCACGTCCTTCTCCAGAGGATCTTCCCGACCCAGGGATCGACCCCAAGTCTCCTGCATTGTAGGCAGATGCTTTATCCTCTGAGCCATCAGGGAAGCCTTATACATACACACCCACACGTCTCCTCCGTTTTAGAGTTGCTTCCCGTTTAGGTCACCACAGGGCTGAGTAGACTCCTTGTGTTGTATAGCAGGTTCTCAGTATATCTGTTTTATACATAGTGGTGTTTCCATTGGAGAGGGAAATGGCAACACTTTCCAATATTTGTACCTGGAGAAGCCTCATGGACCGAGGAGCCTGGCAGGCTTCAGTCCACGGGGTCCCAAAGAGTCAGACGTGGTGACTGAGGGTGTGTAGTCAGTCCCAATCTCCTAATTCACCCCACCCTCCCGTTCCCTCCTGGGTCCATACATTGGTTCTCTATGTCTGGGGCCACGGACATCTGAAAAGTTGTTCTGAACAGAAATCTGCTCGGTAGATCCCAGGGACATCTTTGGTTATTCGTCTTCCTTAACCTCTTCTGAGCAGTGAAATCCCCTCTTCTGAGCGGATCCACGGGCTTTGGCTCCGGCCGCTGCCTTTATCCTTGCCCGACGCGCCGCTGTGGGACAGCGCTCCCTGCGGGGCTCCACGGAAGGAGCGCAAGACAGCGGCTTGGCGGCTGGCTAGGGAGCCCGACCGAATCCGCCCCCAGCCTGCCCCAGACAGTGTCTCCAGTCATCACTTTAAATCCTGCCTTGGCACCACGAGTGGATCTTGATGAAAAGGAAATATTGCTAGATACCACTCTGATTTGCGTAGGTACAAAATGCCTGGGAGAAGCAGCCCGTTTTCAAGAGAGTCGAATAGACACCCCCTCGTTTTCCCTGCGTTGGGACCCACTACCTCGCGGACAATGATGCGCTATGGCTCCTGTCTTTCTCTTGCTGATGGCTTAATGGCCACGTGCGTTCCTGGCTTCATTCTGGAGTGTGGAGCCGACACCGGGCCAGGGTTGGAAGGTCACAGGCAGGAGACTCTAGCTTGTAACCCACGAGGAAGCCC